TTCTATTTCTTGATTCTTTGTGAATAGCTTCATCCGTTTCTTGTTAGGTATCTGCTAGCTGAAGCAGGAGACACTTTATTTGCATCCTTCATTGGGACCAAGCAATACAAGTAAGTATGGCATGCGTACCTGTCAGCTCTTTATCTTCTCTTTTTAACTTGTAGTTTAAATTTTGTTTTACTCTATGTGCCCTTCTACCTGTTGTTAAGGGATGTCATGGCTGATGCAAATATATTTCAAGGTGCCATATTCCATGACAGTGCAATGGCAAATGTTAATGAAAGTGAACAAACAGAACTAACCAGTCAAGTGGATAATGGGGAGAATGGGTCAAGACCTATAGAAACAAACCCTAAGCAAGATAACTCTACACCCATGCCTGCTGTTCATCGGGTACAACAGTTTGCCTCTTGCATTTTGTGTATGGAAGTCATATGTAGCATCCAGGACTCATAATGTCAGTCGGACATTTCCTTTGCTTCTGTTGTGGTTAATATTTATTAATCTTTCTTCTCCAGGGATTTATGGCACGCGCTAAAGGGATACCAGCATTGGAGTTGTACAGGCTAGCACAGAAGAAGAGACGGAAGCTTGTGTTATGTGGGCATTCACTTGGTGGAGCAGTATGTTTATCCTTTTCCTTTTTTATTTTCTTCCCAACTTTAATTTAGCAGTATTTTTGATATATGCCACTCAGATTTGTTCAGTGGATTCTATCTCTCTGTTCGTAACCCGCACAGGTAGCTGTCCTTGCCACCCTGGCTATTTTAAGGGTTATTGCTGTTACATCAAAAGAAGCAGAAAGGGTTCAGGTGAAGTGTATAACGTTCTCCCAGCCTCCGGTAGGAAATGCTGCACTTAGAGAGTATATCCCACACCCTGTTATTTGGTTTATCTTATTGCAAATTTTCACTTTATGAAATTCTCTCTGTGACATGATTTCTTTCAGTTATGTTAAGGGAAAAGGATGGCAAAATCATTTTAAAACCTATTGTATTCCTGAAGACCTGGTTCCGCGCATATTATCTCCAGCATATTTTCATCACTATAACTCACAGAACCCCTCAGTACCCACTACTGTAGGAACTTCACTCACAGTGACACAGTATAAGGAAGCAAACGAAAAGCAGAATGTGGAAAGACTGAAAGAGAAAGAAGGGGGCCAATTGGTTCTGGGTTTAGGTCCCGTGCAGAATTCTTTTTGGAGACTCTCGAGACTTGTTCCCATTGAAGGTTTTAGGAGGAAGTTCTATAATAGGGGAAGGACTGTTGATCCAGTTGCAACCTCTATAGTTACTGATTCTGCTGCCACATCAGCTATTGAGGAAATAGTTACTGCTCCACAGTCACTCGAAATCGAAGAGGGTTCTGATGGGATTTCTCTCCGGCCATTACCTGAAAAAAATGAAGAGATTTCTGGAGGATTCAAAAATGAAAAAGTATCTGGACATGGTGGCACTAGCAATGGGGACAAGAAGGCATGGCGGAGCATACCTTCTTTACCTTCATATGTACCATTTGGACAAGTATGTTCGTCAGTTTTGATTTAATTATACTTTCCCAGTATTGAAAGTATATATATTATTACAGTCTTGTGAAGCTTGCACCAGACAGTCATAGTATTTGTTTTCTTATTCAGTTTGTTGTTTTTCAAACAGCTTTATCTCTTGGGAAATTCATCTGTGGAATCACTATCTGGTTCAGAATACTCAAAATTGACATCGGTGAGAGATTTATATTATCACTTTCATCAGTCATCATCCTGGTTGCATCATGCATGACTGCAGAATATACCGGTCCTTGCCGTAATGTGATTTACACAGTTGGTGTAATCTTCTGATCTTTTTGGATTGTAATGTTCAGGTCAGATCTGTAATTGCTGAAGTAAAAGAGCGGTTTCAATCACATTCAATGAAGTCATACAGATCCCGGTTTCAAAAGTAATATATTGATTTTTTTTGGGCTTTTCCCTTTGGCTGTTGTTCTCGTACAAATTAGTGTTCTAAGCAAGTTTATGAGGATTGGCAATTTTTTCAAGCCAAAAATATTCAACACTCTTTGTTATATTGTAACTTGTTGAGTGGAGCATTTTTTTATTTTCCATTTTGAAACTCTGAGGCATGTACATTTGTTTCATTCTTTGGCATCATTTGCATTTATAAGTTTGACTTGAAACTTTACTGCACTGAGTTTGAGCTTAACTTTCTTTAATGTTGAAAACTAAAGTTATGGTTTAGTATTGCTGGAGGAAATATGTTATTCTCTTATATGTTAATGTGATGGGTTTGAGCTGAAACTGAATGGTTATTACAGAGTACAGAGTACAAGTTGATTTATATTTTCTTGCAGCACCTCAATGTTCTTCATTCCCTGGAAGTTCAGTTAAATTGAATTCAGCAGCTCGCTAGCTGGGTTTGATCATGTCGAACTGAAATATATATTATATTGTTTTTTCTTTTATAAATTCACCATTGTTCTTATTGGCTCTAGTTATATCTGACAGAATCTACGAACTCTGCATGAATGATAATGCATTCTCATTCCTGGGGAGGGAGCAAGAGCTGCAATTCCCACAATTGCAAAAATGGATAGGAATTTCAGTTTCTGGTACGGTTGAACTTGGACATATTGTTGACTCTCCAATTATTCGAGCAGCTACTTCTCTGGTTCCCCTCGGGTGGACCGGTATTCCCACTGACAAGAATGGAGAACCCCTCAAAGTAGACATATCTGGCATTGGATTACATCTATGTACACTGATTCAAGCTCGAGTGAATGGTAAATGGTATTTTTCTTGACCAGTTAATTGACAATTTATCTGTACGTCTCTAAAATTTATATTATAATTCTGAATTTTTCATACACCTACCAAGTTTGAGTTGGAAGCAACCGTATCTTTAGATTTTCGACCAATTTAGTAATTTACTGTTTGATACCCGCTAATCCAAGGTTGAACTTCTGGCAGGTGCTCGACTACTGTGGAATCCTTTCCTTCTCCACCAGCATATTCTCAGCAGCACGAACTGCAACCAGAAATGCAAAAGATGCGAATACTGGTTGGAGCTCCATTTAGACGGCAACCAAAACATCAAATATCCGAGGATGGGTTGATGCCCTCTTTTCTGTCTATCGATCCAAGCTCGGTTGACCTGAAACTAAACCAAGTCAACCCTCCAGAAATGGAGGACAAAAAAGGCATCATTCCTGATGGTCTGGGTGATTTTGTTGTATTTTGCACGACCGATTTTTCAACTGTCGCCAAAGAGGTTCACGTGAGAACCCGAAGGGTGCAGTTAATCGGCCTCGAGGTAACATTAACATGAGCTATCTGTTTTTTCGTGCACTACCTAGGATTTCTTGTCTGTTTTTATTAATATTTATAAAACAATGAGGGTGGATTGTGTTTCTTTCATGCAGGGTGCTGGTAAAACCTCTCTTCTCAAGGCAATTTTGAGTCGGGGAAAAAGTATTAGTCTCGAGACTCTTCCAATGGATACTGATTTGCAAGAAGGTATCACTGGCGGTTTGTTCTATTCAGATTCCGCAGGAGTAAATTTGCAGAATCTGAATTTGGAGGCATCCCGTTTTCGTGACGAGCTGTGGAAGGGAATCCGTGACCTGAGCCAGAAAATCGACCTAGTGGTCCTCGTGCACAACCTGTCCCACCGAATACCACGCACCACCGCCACATCCTCACAAAACCCACCGCCCCCCGCTCTCTCACTGCTCCTAGACGAGGTCAAGTCTCTCGGCATCCCGTGGGTCCTTGCTGTCACCAACAAGTTCTCGGTAAGCGCACACCAGCACAGGTCAGCAGTCGATGCTGTGATACGCGCGTACCAAGCTTCCCCTGGCTCGACCGAGGTCGTCAATTCGTGCCCCTACGTGATGCCCAGCCCAGCTGGCGAGGCCCGACTGCTTTTCAACCCCATGAATCTAGTCAGCTATGGACCTTTCCGGAAGAAGCCGGCTGTTCTCCCTGTTGAGGGCGTGGCGTCTCTGTGCCAGCTTGTCCACCGGGTGTTGCGTAGCAACGAGGAAGCTGCTTTGCAGGTGATTCTTGTTTGGGTAAAAACATTGGTTGCAACCTATAGTATTGTTTGTGGTAACATGCAATCTGAACTTCATTATAGTATGTGCTTGCTTGGATATAAGAAATAGAGACAAAATTCAAACAGTTTTAACTCAACCACTCTTTAATCCAACCTCATTATCCTCAATCCCCTTATATATAATTTCAGAACGCGCTGAGCTTAAGTGACAACTTTCCACGATCCGTAAGAACCGTAATCTTACATGACAAAATATTATGTTTTGTAATATAGCTTGAATAAAAATTACAATTTTTTTTATACCAAATAACTTAGGTTCGGATTACCATATATATACACATATTTAATATATTGAAATCATTCCATATAAATTTATTTATTACCTTCTTTCTATAATTTGAATATAATCTTACTTTCCAAATTTTGTACTTTGTTCATATTATTTCCTTATGTATTTCAAATAAAAATATTATAAATAAAATTAATGAGGTATATAAATTAGTTTTCAGAATTTAAAATAATATTGTTAATTCACTTGTTATTTATTATAAATTGTTATTTATTTATTTTTTCCAACTTCAACAAAATATATAATTTTTTTTTTATTTTTTATTGTACATTTAATTATTTTATCACAGGTATTGTTCTAGTATTATCAATATAATTAAATAATATCAGTAAATCATTCTTACTCATTACATAACTTACTTTGATTCACTGTTCATCCACTCACATAGTTTTAACTAACCATTACTTCACATCATCTCTCTCATATTTACATCAAAACAACTTTAATTATTTTATTTTAAATTTTATTTAATATAAGCTCAAAATCTTACTAACAACTAATCATACCACATTTTTCAAAATTAACCCTGGTTACCAAAAAATCTAAACAAAACCAAGAATCTTATATCCAAGCATCCTCGAAGCCAAAGTTTTTCCCTTTCTTTTTTGTTCTTTCTTGTTCATTTTTCCCCTTGAGGTTGGGTAAATTATTTGGCGGGCGATTAGTTTTGAAATATGGTACTTTTAAATTCGAAATAGGAATTGGCGAGGGATCGGATTTTGATGGAGTTGGCAAGGGAACGTGCTGCAGCAGATAGAGAGACGACGGATAAATCGAACTCATTAAGTGCGGCAACGATTGGTGCATCGGTTGGGGCGGGAGTCGGGATCATATTGGCGGTTGTCATGGGAGCAGCCTCCGCTTTGAGGAAGCCATGAAAATCTTTTAGTTTCAGGTGGACGTGTTTATTCTTCTTCTTCTTCTTCTTCTTCTTTTTTCGGGCTTCTCTTTATGTTTGTTGCTATTTACTAATCTGTGTAGTATTTGAAACGAACCCGTGGTACTCTAGTGAATTATTTTTCCATTTCTTGAATGAGAAAAAAGCAGCGGCAGCAACTAATAATTTTATGAAAGATTTTTCAGACAAAAATTTTCCCCCAGTCATTACTCTTGCAATTGCAAACTCTATATAATATTAGATTATTTTAGGGAGGAAAAGAAATTGTGTGAGAAAAAAGTGAGTAAAATACAGGAATTTTTTATGGATGAGTGAATTCTATTTTAAATTGTGAAATGTATACAGTAAAATGTATAAAATTGGTGTAAAAAGGAATAGTAAAATAATGTAACTGAAAAATGTTTTAAATGATTGTTTTTTATTTATTTTACTGAATTGATAAAATTGAGTAAAATGTAAAACTCGATGAACAGTAGTTTTTTTTTTTTTAATTATATAGTTCATTANAAATATATTAAGAACTGAAAAATTCAAAACAAGTGTGTCAACTGACACAAGAAAAGAACCAGCACAAAGGGTAGGAACAGAAAAAGAACTTGATTCTCAATGCATGTATTTGGTTACAATTCAGATACACCATCTATCAATCACTATTCATTGCGCAGTCCATAATTGAACCCAATGACTGATACATGGTACAAAAATAATAGGTTTGTAAGTTTGTAACATAATAACATAAGCTAAAATTTTCTTGTCTGTATAAAACCAAAGGAGTTGAGAGAACACCACAATCGAATCACCCTCATGTCACGAGAGATGGGGAAATCTCACCTCGAGCAGCATGAGAAGGCGCCCGTATTTTGCTTTGACGGGTCAACCCCATTTGCAAGGCTGACCCGGTTCACGGACAACTCAGCTTTGTAAGAATCTGAGTTGAGAATCTTGCGACTCACCTTGTCGAAAATCTCGCGAATCACGGTCTCAAAGGCATTGTACACGTTTGTGGAGTCGAGTGCAGATGTCTCAATGAAGAACAATCCTTCTTCCTCGGCAAGAGCTTTACCCTCTTCCAAACTCACCTCTCGTATGTCTTCCAAATCGCACTTGTTTCCGACTAGCATTGTGGCTACAGTAGTGTCGCAATGGGCTGCACGGGTATATGAAAAATTAAAATGGTTGAGACGATTTATTGTGATGACGGGCGGGACCTATATCCAATCCGTGTTCGCGATTTGAAATTAGACCAATCAAGATCCAAACCGACCCGGTCGACTGGACTCAATTGGTTCAACTCATAGTTTAACCAACAATTTTTTGATATTTTTATTTAAGAATAAAATATTTGCGTATATAGTTATTGGATAATTATTTATGACGAAATTTAGAGTGTGTTCGGTAACCACAATAAACTAGTTTATAGCTTATTCGGTTAGTTTATAAGCCTTTTGCACTCAAATAAGTATGGTTTGGTAGGACGGACTTTCTTAAAAAGCTAGAACTTATCTCATAAGCTGCTTTATTTACTAAACTTTTTTATTATATAAGCTAGTTTTCAGCCATAAATCCTAAGCTATCAGATATCAACTATAAGTTCAGAATTCACTTATAAGCTATCTTGAGTTCTCGAGCTTATTCCTTCCAAACGAAGCTTATTTAAATACATGAAGCTTATAAGTTAACCAAATAAGTTATAAGTTAGCTCATTTGTCTACCAAACATATCTTTACATGTAAATTAGTTATTATTTATTTTTATACGGATATTATTTAAATGGATTTATAAGAAAAAAAATAGTATATAATTCATCAAGTCACCAGTTCTGTCATGCCCGGATGTGAAAACACTAGATTGAAATAGTATATGATATTTTATTCCTTAAATTTAAAAAATTACCAACACCACCATATTAGCGTTTGCCAAACAAATCTTACCATCCACACCTGCATACCTCTATTAACTATATCTGTTAAGGCATTTTTTGACTTTTGGTTGGAGAGTTTGTTGTGTTTCCAAATCTTTTACTATCCCAACAGTCTTATTAATGACATTAACAATAAAGACCAGTTGATCCAAGATGTCACTAGCAACTTTAATAAGTGATAAATCAAATGGGACATCAAAAGCTAAAAGGCCAAGTTCTTGTAATGCACCTTATGCACACCAAGAAAAAAACAATATTTTGGCTTTTCATAAATATAAGTAGTATTAATATGAAGAAAATATTTATAATTTTCGATGTTTAGTCAAATTTTTTAAATCTCATATCGGTTTTTGAATCACACAAATTGTTGTCAGTTGTCACACCAGGTAAACCATCTAACAAAGATTGAATGGCCCATATGTAATGAATATATACATCATAAAACCAAAATCAAAATACAATAACTAATAAGTGATTAACATAAAATAATTATTATAATGAAAAAATAACTAATTTTCACATGATGAAGAGGTGGAAACTAATATATTAATATAGTTGAAAGTGTTTGTGAGATTTAAGAAAAACATAATCCATTGAACTTGAATTTGTTATTCTGAAAAGCAAACCGACCCGATCATAGTCCAAAACCGGCCCGGCCATAGATCAATCCAATAAACAGAGAATAACAAAACTCGAACACGAAAAAAAGAGAAGAGGAATACGACGTACTATTGAGCTCATCGAGCCATCGCTTGATGTTCTCGAATGTGGCCTTGCGGCTGATGTCGTAGACGACGAGAGCCCCGACGGCCCCGCGGTAGTAGGCGGAGGTGACGGCGCGGAAGCGCTCCTGTCCGGCGGTGTCCCAGACCTGGGCCTTGACCTCCTTGCCGTCAATCTCCATCAGCTGCGTCTGGAACTCGACGCCGATCGTAGCCTTCGAGTGGTGGTCGAACTCGTCCCGGGCGAACCGCGATAGCAGGTTCGATTTTCCGACCGCCGAGTCGCCGATCACCACTATCTTGAACAGGTACTCTTCCCCATTTTCTTCACCCATCGGAGATTTTTTTGGGGATTTGGGGATTTTTTTTTCGGCGGGCTGTGTTTTTGTGTGTTTTGTGTTTTGTGCGAGTGTGAGTGTGTGTTTTATGTTCTTTTACGGATGCGCATGTCTAACGTTAGTCAAGTCAGTCGTATAAAAATGATTATTTCGACGCATATTAATTGAACCCTGGTACTTTAAAAATTTGTATAAACAAAAAGTATGAATATTTCATAATCTAAATTTATGCTTTTTTGTTAAAAATGTAAGACTCATCTTTTAGACATGTCAGTAAGTAGTCATATATTTTTCGACGTATAATTAAATATCATATTTTAAAAATTTATATATAATAAAATTATGATATTTTATAATATAAGTATATATTTTATTGAAAAAAATATGATAAATGGACGTTACACAATTCACATACGAATTTGGGAGATTTTAATGGAAAAAGGGGGTGTGGAGTGTTGACTGTGGTGGACTCACTGCGTGATTTGTGCTTGATACATTGACTAATGTGTTTTGCTTTGTTTTAATTTTGTCCGATTCGTGTAATTGGTTTTTGACTTCTTTGAGATTGAGGAAATTGTCCAAATCTATTCGATTTTGACAAGGAAAATATTAATATTGGGAATGTGAAAGTTTGAATTCACTTATGGGTGAATGAATTATTTTTTAGTTTTTGAAAAAATATGGAGTAAAATGTGATGATAGAGTAATCTGATAAGATATAAAAGTAGTATTTATACACAAAAATAGTAAAATAATAATTGTAGATAAATTATCGTTAAATATGTAATTGGATGTATGTATAGTGAAATTTGATAGAATATTTGAAGTAATAATTTATTTATATTTTTCATGGTAATTACAAGATTTTGAAAACATTTATTAAAAAAATATCCACTCACGTATATAAATAAAAAAAAAAAAAACAAGACTTAAACTGTATAATTTATATAAATTCCTAATGGTTGGGCAACACAATTGAGGGTAAAAAATAATTTGAGAATTGTTCCAAAAACGTTTCGCGTGGGTTGTTGGGCAGAAATCGTTTTGGGCTATTATTTTTTTAATGGGCCTCGTGGCTCCAATGGTACAGGCTGATTTTCAAGTGGCGAATTTACATAGTTACCTTAGTTATTTGAAAGGAACAAAAACTATGAAAAAACAATAAAACTCACGAAAATTTAGGGATTGTGTACAATGTACAAGTAATATAATCGGATATATACATGACATATACTTTTTTATACACTATACGTGTAGATATATACCAATCTTCGTTTATGTCGGTATTTTTTATTCATTCCCTCTCTCCTTTTTATTCATCTTCCCTGTAAGCACGCACACTATTGTTTCAGCAATTTTCACCAACAAAATCACACCAAATCCAAAATCCCTAAGTATTAAATTCATCTTTCGTGCAAAAAGACGATCCAATTAAACCAGCCGTCCCCTGCCCGTGTGTCCCCCATCTTCATCATTGACTGTCAGAAATCGATATTGAAGCCGACAACGACGAAGAACTTGGTGAAGCCACGGAGGTTCTCCGGCAGCAGGAAATCGATGACCCACGTGCCTCAAACAGAAACGCCTCCTCTGGGGGGAATCTTAATTTTCCCCGATTCTCGAACAGGAACGATCGAAGTCGGATAAGAAAATAATGTCACTTTCGCTACTCTCGCCGGCGGAGTATGACGTTTTGGAGGTCGGTGGCGAAGTTGATGAGAGGAAGAAGAATATGGGAGAATAAGAAAGAGAGGAACATTGATGGTAAAGAAAAAAAGGAGAAGATATGAGAGAGAAGTTACTACTATAAATATAGGAATATGATTTTTTGGTAACTGATAGAGTTGCCTAAAATTGTGCTTTAGGTATTGTACGGGGTATTAACCGACATTAGACATTCAAGTCAAGCAGGAAAAAGTCCATTCGAACTCGAGCGGGAGGACTGAAAACTAATCAAACGCGAGATGTGACCGGATAGGCAAAGACAGGACGGTCGACTAGAGTCAATCATTATAATTGATAATCCGTACTATTTGCATTAAATGCGAGAGGATCTGGTAATTGCAGATCCGATGGTGCGAAATCACCAGGGACACGTGTCGCGGGACGGGTTCATCATCCATGTTGGGATTGGATTATGTAGTACTAAGTATTAAATATGGTGTGACTAAATATTTTTAGAATATCTCATAAAAGAAAACGAAAAATAAAAATCTCAAAGAGAATTGTAATAAGACCTCACTTTTCCTATAAAAGAAAGAAGAGGCAACATTAAATGCAATAAGAATATATTCTCTCATTAATGATATAAGAGAAAAGCCACGGATAGAACATACATCCGTTCTACATTCCTACACATTTCTATTCGTGCAGACCGAACCGAGTGTATATTTTAGTACACAGTTCGAAATATTGTTAGTTATATTTTCATACATCAACATGTATCTTTGCAAATGAAGTTAATAAATTTAGTCAAAATGCAAATAAATACATCTGAGCTGTAATTATGTAAATAAAAATGATAACTTCGGTGCAAGGTATAATTTTCTAATCTTGAGGCAAAGTTTCTGGGTATTTCACGGGTATTACCACAAAAGATAATTAATTGGGAATTTGGATTGAACTGGTCAAAGTCACAATTGAGATTGGGACATCCACATCAAAGAAGAAATGGCCAAACTCGTCCATTATATTAGGATATTGACAAAAACCGGAAAATGTCGTCCCTAGACTCCCTACTTTCATCTAACTCATGTGATCCAAGCCAAGTTGACGATTTTTGTGGATGTGGATTAGATTCTCATTATTATTATTATTATTTTTTTCTAAAAAGATAATTTTATTCACAAAAGGCAAAGCCTTGGAAGAACAAAATAATTTCCTTTTCCACTTTTTGGTATTTCATTTATTTATAAATAATATTTATATAGAACCGTTAAATGAAACGAGTTGCTCGTAAACTCGGTATCACACGAGTCGAACTTCCTTGTTTAGTTACTGTTTATATAATTTCATATAGTTCGATTCGTTAATATTAATAAACTAATCGAGGTGGAGCTCGATTACTAACTCATTTAGTTAACGAGTTGAGCTTGATTTGTTAAGGGCTCGAGACAGAATTCCATGAGCTTGAGTTCGACTCGAACACATACGTATGATGCTGTCATATTTCTATATATCACTTATCCAACATAATACAATAGAAATTAAAACATGAAATTACGATTTCTATTTTCTGCAAGTCATTCATTCAACGTACTTCAATAAAAATTGAAACAGGATATATGTATTATTCCATTTGCAATCCGGTATAAAAACTCCACGGTTTTGCTATGGAGGTATCGGATGACTCGGCTTATGGAATCATCCATAGTTATCCACAAATGGTGTATTGACACGTGTCCTGCAATAAATACATATTGGACACTTGTCAATACATAAAGTTATGAATGACTCCATAAGAGAGCCATTCAATGACTCCTTAGAATTTCTGTAAAACTCCATTACATACACATACTTTTTGAAGATTTGTGGAAAATTGATTTAAGCTAAATTTCTATTTTCAAGGGGCTCCAATTTTAGACTTGAGTTTCTAGATCCGCTGAACACGGTATATCTTGTACCATCTTTGACATATACTAGTACAGATCCCGTGCAATGCACGGGGTGCACAAAATTAAGACTATTTATCAAGTCTTATAATTATATAAATGAATAAAAAAAAAAATGTACATGATATATATAGTACGTGACCTGTAATAGGCCAAAATGTGAACACGGGTGATGCACGGAGTGCACAATTTCAAGGTCATTTATTAGTACAGAGTCCGTGCGATGCACGGGGTGCACAATTTTCTAGTATGTGTAATACAAATACATTCCGTATGCACGGGACAGAAGCACTAAATGAGTTATTTCCACATAGCTTGCCCGTTAAGTAGCTCCTGAACACGGGTGCACAATTTGTAGTACGTACTATAAAATCAGAACAGATTTCCATACATTTAGATAATAAATAAAGCCTTTTTTATGTTAGTAAATATTTTACGTACTTATTTTTACTTATCGGATGTTATGAGATTTTTTTTGTTAAACCGATTTTATGGGATATGATACAAATACAATTAGAGGATTGAACAAAATCAGAACATATTTCTATACAATTAGATAATAAGAAGGAATTACATAAGGAAAAGAAAAAATTAGATAAAAAATTTTGAATCTACCTTTTTTTAGTATAGATAGACTTTACGTACAAATTTTGGCTTCACCGATTTTATGAGATTTGTTTTGACAAAATCAAAGATGAATACTGAAGACTGTTTTTATTAACATTTACAATGTGTATTTAATGTTTTTTTTTTTTTTGGCCAAATATTCTTTTTAAGTGTGATATATAAATATTAAAAATACTTAAAATATTTTATAACATCTATAAAAGCATCTAAAATATTCAATATTATTCACAAATAATGTTTGAAACTACCTAATAATGTTCGGAGAGCTTCATTAATTTAAAAGTGTAAAATAAATAAATAAATAAAAGTACAACTTAAAAAGTTACAACCAATTGTATGGAGAATTAAACTAAATCTAATTTTGTAGGATACACTAAATATTGATTAAATTTTATATGTAAAATAAAATAAAAAAATAACTGGAATAGTTTTACGTGTTGCAATATTGTATATTTAAAAAAATTAAAAAATCTTCTTTTACGTATTGCATACCAACATTTTAGGAACTACATGGATATTCCTAAATTAATATTGCATATCTAATATTTTAGGAATTAATTAAATGCTAATTTGATTTGCATACCAAAAATATTAGATGCATTAATTAAATGATTGATAAAAATAGCAAATCATTAATTAAGATTGACTATTCTACATACTACATTTAGTAAATAGTACCCCCTTTAATATAAGTATAGATGACAAATCATCATAAGCACATTAAATTTGTAGATATGAGGTGATTTCATATATTTTTATACTGAGCGATAGGTTGATCCGTCTTATTTTTTTTAATAAATGTATATTTATATTATGAAATGTTATATTTTTACTTATATTGGTGTGTAGAATATAACATTTCAATTTTAAAAGTATATGTATATCTGTTGAAAAATTTCGTTGTCTAACTGTTAGACATGCTAGCAGTAATTATTGATTGAATTTATATTTTGAACACCAAAGAAGGTAGAGAAAAACAAACCATATACAATATAGAGGACTTATAAGGTGTCACATAATTGGTAAATTGAAGAGAATATTCAAAGATATAGAAATAATTTGTGCTTGACCCATTGCACATAGGCACAAATGAAAATAAAAATATTATAAGTCATACTTACGGATATTATCAGTAAATTAATAAAATTAATAATTAGTAAAAATTAACAATATAATTATAAATTATTTTACTTATATATGACAACTATTTAGATTCTGTAAAATATAATAATATAATTTTTACATAATTAAAGGGTCGTGATTAATTAATTAGATGAATTATTATTATTGTTAAGACTTACAGAACAAATTTTCGGCTGCTGCAAGCCATGAGACAACTCCCTCGCGAAGAATTTCTAGGCTTTTCCTCTTTCTTTCTCCCCACCCTCTCTTTTAGACTCTTTTGTTATTTTTATATTTGTTGGTAGTGATTTTTTCATCGTTGTTACCGTGCCGCCTCTCTCCTGCCAACAGAACAAACGATTTACCGATCACTGCAATGAAGAGGGGCTGGAAGTCACTGACAAGGAATAAGGAGTTGCCCTAACAGATTAAGGCGGAACCTTAGCATAGCAGTCCCTGCCATGTAGTTTCATCAATGTTCTTTTAGGTGATTAATTAATTAGATGAATTATTATTATTGTTAATAATAATAATAATAATAATAATAATAATAATAATTTTCAGTCAATTAATTAATTGGTCACTATCTCTCAAATATATAAAAATTATATTAGCTATTACAATTTATGTCATAAATATAGTGATTCGTACATAAATTATGCAATTTATATTTATATTGCTAATTATTACTGAATGTTAAAATTTTAAAATTTAATATATTTATTATCTAGCTTATAAATTTAAATAATATAGTAGTGACCGTATTCATAAAAAATAGTGGATAATTTAGTAGTGACGTGTGCCAACACTAGCGGTCCAATTCACCCCACTCAGCAAGTGCCCTTCCATTATAAACTCCAAATTACAAGGTCAACAAAATCCGCTTCTAAAAACCAAAACAAAACACAAAACTCATCAAATGTTCCCACGCTACACTTATATAAATACCCTAACAAAAAACTCCATAGCCCATAGTACTCTTCTCCTATATACAAACCATGAATACTCTTCATCATCATCATCTTCCTCTCCTCCTCCTTTTCCTCCTCTTCACAAGCCCGGCCCAGGCCCAAGCCCAAGCCCAATCACCCGCCGCCTTCTCATGCGACGGCAACAACGTAACCAACCGCCAAATACCCCAAAACATCAACCGCCTTTTGACCACACTAGTCTCCGGCACCATCCAAAATGGGTTCATCACGGCCTCCTCCGGCAGAGGCCCGGCCCAAATCTACGGGCTAGCCCAATGCAGAGGCGACGTGCCCAACAATGAATGCTCTGCCTGCATCCGCGAAGCGGCCCGGATCGTCCGCGACTCGGACCACTGCCCCACCCAGTCGGGCGCCCGCATATGGTACGACTTCTGCTTCCTCAGGTACAACACGAACAGCTTCGCTGGCCAGCTTGACACGTCCGGGTGGATTCTGTACAACGTGAATAACGTCACGGACCCGAGCGCATTTAACGAGAAGTTGGGGGACTTGATGCGCAATATAAGCTCTGAGGCGGTGAGGCCTGGGCGGAGGGGGCTCGGGAAAGGGACACGCGGGCTAACGCCCCTCCGTACGCTCTACGGTCTGGTGCAGTGCACCAGGGACTTGTCCGAGCTGGCGTGTGCGCAGTGCCTGGCCACGGCTATTTTTCCGGACGTGTGCGTGAATAGGGAGGGTTGTCGGGTTTTGTTCGGAAGCTGTTATGTTAGGTACGAGTTGTACCCGTTTTTCTTCCCGCTCGAGTCGGGCAGGTCGACGGGTCGTGGGCCGGGTTCGGTGACGGTTAAGAAAGTCGGTTAGTTACGTACTTTTTTCGGGAGTTGCAAGATTATGGGAATTTTGTGGAATAATAAAAAGGGATGGTCATGGTGTTGGATTTTTGTGGAAATTTATGACAAGAATAAGATTTGTTGTTATTTGCACTGTGTTTTTATTTTAAGATTCGAAGACAATTTGGATTTATGGTTTTTGTAATGCAACTCTTTGACTTGTCGCTTGTTATTATCAAGATTGAATTTTCAAATTTCAGATATATATATATATGCTGATGTGGTAAAGCTGTTGACTTTGTGTAGTTGTTCACTGGTAATTGCTTGATTTGTAAGACTTCGTCCAAATGGTAATTGGGCACTTGGGATTGCAAATTGAAAATATCAACTAATTAAATAGACTAGGTGTGATTTATTTTTATGTTTCCACCAATTTATTTTAGAAACTTTTAAAGAGTTTCTTGTGATGAAATGATAAAATTTCTATAAAATAAAAATAAAATTAAAAAATGGAATAATAAAATTTGTTATTCACTAATTGATAGTTGTTGGGTGTTGAAAGTATATATTACAATAGAAATTTTGGGTATGTTTGTGAATTATATTAATCATAAATTTCTTTTAGAAACTTTCAAAGAGATTCTTGTCATGAAATGATAAAATTTGTTGATAATTAATGGATTGGTATAATTGTTGATTATATAATATGATTATTAATTTTCTTTTGTTGATGTGATTTTATTAGTTTTTTATAAAAATATAAATAAAATTAATACAATTATTAGTATGAGTTATTATCAAGTTTGTAGATTTCAATTATTAGTATGAGTGATAGATTTTAATATTTAGTAGAGATCTTACATATGTAGGATAAGTGGAGACTCTTACCATGTAATTGAGTCTCCACTTCCTTTATTGATTGTTGAACGTCAGATGCAGACGTGTTCTCCGTAAGTTTCGGACAAGAAACTTTGGCTTGTTTGGTGGGATGGGATTGGACAAAAATAATACGTAGGATTGTACTATTTAGATTATTTTAATTTGTACTGTTTAGATTATTTTAATGATATGTTTGTTATGTTAGATTAGTGTAGGATAACTTTTAGGATTAAAAAAAAAAAATGAATCTAACCACCACCAACCAACATCAATATAATAAAGTATTGTTTTGCCCCTGTTGTTTAAGTGAATGTCGTAGGTCTAATTTTAAAATGAGGGTAAAATGGAGTTTAACTTCCCAGGATTAATATAATCCCACCTTTTCATCCGGATTGACTTATCCTGATTTCATGGGATAAAAGTTATTTTCATCCCGGGCTTGCACCCCGGGCCTGAATCCTACGAATCAAACATGGGATAAGGGAGGGATAAGCCAGGATATCCGACCTAATCCCTCCAAGCAAACAAGGGCTTTCTGTAATAGGATGGGATTACTTACCCATGTTGGAAGTAACAAAACCACTCTACTCCACATGAAAGCTACTATGTCAAAATTTTAATACATAACTCCAATTTCTAAAATAAAAAATTATTTCAAGTGTGTAGATTTTAATTATTAGTATGAGTTATTATGCCGTTGTGTAGATTTTACTATTTCATTTGAGCTTCTCCTAGTTTTTACTCCAATTTCTAAAATAAAAAAAATATTTAGTGTAAGTAATTTTTTTCATCTTATATTATACGTACTTTTGAGATTTTCAACTTAAAGTATTTTTCTTATTTTTTTTGTTTTGTTTTGTTTTGTTTTTTGTTTTTTTTTTTTTTTTTNGGAAAAAATTATTTACCCAAATATTTATATAAAAAAAAATATTTATACATGTTATTATCGTTTCATTGAACTATATTTTCTTTCCTTTTTTTATTATGTATTTTCATTTTTTTGTCATATTTTTCTTAAATTATTTTTTATTATTTATTTATATTTAATTTCTAATTTTATATCTTTATAATAATTTATTTTGTTAATGCATTATTAGTTTTTAAATACATTATGACTATATTTATTATTTTAATATTATGTAAAATCATACAAAAGCCACATTTTTTTTCATTATACAGCCAATTTATTTCGTAAAACATAAATAAACATGTATAGAAAAATAGAATGAAATAAAATAAATCATATAATGTTAAAGGCTGTTAAAAAATAATATTATTTAAATTTTATTAAAAAGTACCTTACGTATAGAATGCATCAATGAAAAATGAAGTAATTAGCGAGTGATGTAATGTTTATTATGGAAACTCAAATTTCAATAATAACCTAAATGAATATGTAAAATTTGGGTTACCATTTTTTTTCTTTTTCAAACCGCTATAAAACTAATAACTAAAAAACTTAGAAGAACACAATCGAGTGTCAACTAACATCAAAAGAACCAAAAAGTCAAAAAGTCGGGACATACTTCCTTGGAACTATACAATCGTGTGTCAACTTAGAAGAGTACAATCGAGTGATAAGTTTGGCTTTGATTTCGTCATTGTCTTGGATGATAGGTCACTTGGGTTTTGGAGAAGTGAAAGCAGAAGATGTACCGGAAGATACGGTTAAGGTACATTTTGTGACTCACGTATTGGCTGTGTTTCTAATTTGATACTCAGTGTTGTCCTTTGCTCAAAATGTGATTGGCTGATTGCTAGTGATCACTGTGAACTCCCACTGACAATGATGCAAATGTGCTTGTACAAAGTTAACCTTGAGCAATTAGGCTATAGTTCACTGTTGAATGGAATGGAACTTTGACTTGTTATGGTATGGGCTTATGATTTTCATGTACCTATGCTAATATGGAACTTGACATTTGTACATGCCACTAACTTGCCAGTTATGATTCTTCAGTAGAACTTTTGACATTGTTTTTGTGTCATACACTCTTGGCTTTAGTACCTTTGCTTGGAAACTTTCACAACCTTTTGTGACATAGATTCTTTCACGCCAGGTTAATAGCTTTCACAGGGTTTTCTATGGCACAACACTTATTGAGTTCTCAAGTGAGGACGATGCTGCAAACATTTTGAAGCAGAAAGAGCCAATCAAGAGGAAGAAGCTGCAAAGACACGTCCTCAGGACAATAAAGATGTTATAAAGGAGGACCTGAAAATTACTTTCCACAAATTTGGTGAATCAACCATGAATCCTCCATTCATTGTTAATTTTTCTGATGATGTCGAGCCAATTTATACGCTTTGTGCAGTTTCAAGGACAGACTAAGGGAGTGCTTATATAGACTTAACAGAGCTGATTGCTTCGCATACACAATCATCAAACCTGACCAGACACAACCCAAAGAACATAACACAAAAGTTGAACGAATTAGAAGTCGCCAATAGCCCAACAAAAAATTATAGCTACACAAAACCTTACAGTCGTATGTTTTATTTTCTTACTATCACAAAAAGATATCAACCCAGCAAATAGCATACACGACTAGGAAAGAAAGCTTTTAGCGTCTCCCAAAGTAAGAGAATAGTGTCGGTTGTTTATCATCAGCAACATCCTTGTTTCTTTTCCGGGCAGGACTCACATGTTTTTTTTCACTCTCTTTTGCATGAGCACAAAACTTTGCATAGTCTCGCTTGTCAAGATTGTCTTTTGTGATGGTAGATTGATCGTCTTTGCCTTGGCTCTCGGGTTCCTCTTTAGTACTTTTCTCTTGGCTATTTTCAACACATTCGTCCTTCACTTGGGTAATTTTTAGGGCCGACTGGTTTTCATCTTCGTACTTCACACTTTTCTGAAGACTGCTTTCAGCTGGTTCGTACATTATTGTCGTGTTTTCGGTTGGCAGGTTGTAAGATTCCTCTTTTGTAATATTAGGTTCACTAGCTTCAGTAGGCTCATTCTTTACCGGGGACTTTTCACGTTTTGGCTCTGGTGCACACATGTCTTTCTTCGAGAAGAACTGTGAGATTGTTTTGGTCTCCTCAGTTTTTACCTGAATCTGGGGCAAGGCAAAAAATCAGCCACTAAATTACATTTGCCTTATAGAAATGAAATGCGAACCCACATTTTAGTGTCTCCAGGTATTCGATTCCACAATCGATATTTCACTATTGCATTTCAATATTTCATTTATTGTCAAGGTAACCTTGGATACCAAAATACCCAAATACATTTGACACCACTACACACAAAATGGGCAATATTCAAAAGTTATGGCACTAGAATTGTGAGCTCAGCAATGACTTGAACTCTCGCATAAAAATATTTTAGGGCTAAAAGGGTTAGAGAACTTAAGCTGCAAGCACGCCGAGCACAAAAATAAGCCTTGATGAGAGTAAGTTGCTGCAACTATGACATTCAGTAGAATCACATTCTATAAGTTGTACAACAAAANACTTGAAAGTATTTCTCAAAGTCAAATTTCATTTCATGAAAAACAAATAAATAAAAGAATATTCTTTACCTCCTTAATGCACTCTGGTCCATCAAAGGAAAGCTTACCCATTGCAGTTGTCACCGGGTACCAGGCCTGCCATAGAAAATTTATAATCTTTAAAATCGCGGTCCCTATCTCTAGAAAAACTAACATCACAAAGAGAAAATTGAGGTCCATACCAAATCTTCTCCTTCATACGGTTTGAGAATTTTGTCAAGATTGGACAAGGAGGTATCATTCAACCAATTTTCAGTTGATTCTTTGTTGCCCAAGATAACAGGCATTCTGTCTGTAGCAATTTCAAATGATCGAACAAATTAGCATGCTGACTAAGGAAGTAAGACCTATCATAATCTTGATAAACAGCAGTAGCAAAACTGGAGACTGGAGAGACACATTTCACTGGTGAAATGATATTTCTGAGAAAATATACATACCATGAAGCCATTCAAGAGATGGTGATGAAGATGTTGTGATTATAGTGAAGGTATATATGATTTCTCCTGCAAGGAGAAATGGCTCGAATAAACACAATTTTTTTTTGAAAAGGAGCCTACAAGTTATGAAAATCACTCCGGGATTTGGGAGACCATAATGAAACAGAAATGTTCACTGGCATTTTATTTTGTCTTGATTGGTATGATGGAATGAAATTTGGTAGGAATGGAATGAATTGAAGAATGGAATGATTATGAGAATGAAATGAAACATGTTTTGTTATTGATGCGCTTGGTATGCAGAATGAATAGGGCTGGAATGGAATGACATTATTATTTTTTATTATAAAAATAAATAAAAGCTTTTTTCAAAAAATAATATACTTTTAATAAATTATAAATGCTTTTTTAATAATATATAGAAATAAAATAAACTATTTTTAATAATATATTTTGAATAATATATAAAATAGAATAATATATTGTTTAATAATATAAAAATAATATATTTTTAATAATATATAAAAATAAAATAATATATTTTTAAATTATATATAAAAAATAATATATTCTTAAAAGTAATATATTCTGAAAAAGTAATATATTTTTAATAATATCTATTTTATTTTTTAATTAAATAGTAAATAAAAGTAAGTTTTCAATTTTTTATTTGAATTTTATTTTTAAAATAATATATTTTTAATAATATTTAAAAATAAAGTAATATATTTTTAATAATATATATTTTTAATATATTTTCCAATAATATATTTTCAATATATAAAAAATAATATATTTTTAATAATATATAAAAATAAAATAATATATTTTTAAATTATATATAAATGCTTTTTTTAGTTTTATTTTTATATAAGTATTTAATATATCTAATTAAAAAATAAATAAAAGTAATTTTTTAATTTTTTTTATTTGATTTTTTTTAAATAATTTTATTTAATATATTTTAATCATGATTTATATTATATATTATAAATTTATTTTTTATTATTATTTGTTAATTTTATTCTTTGAAAAATTGATTCCTACACACATGAGAATGAGAAAACCTTCCATTTACTATGGAATGGCTAATCCCATGGAGATGGGTTTTGCCATTCCCATTGGAATGATCATTCCTTCCCAAAAAATATACCAATCATGGGAATAGGAATGAGGAAGAGAATGATCATTCCATTCCCATGTCATTCCTTCATACCAGTCATTAAGGTTTTTTAAGGTTTTTTTAAGGTAGAAAAGGGAGAAATATAATCTTGAACATTATAATATCATTCGTAACATTTAACAAAATGTTTAACCTTCTGCACTTTTCCAAGAATCATATAAAGCAGCAAATACAAGGGGGCGCCCATCCTTGAAGTGTATGTAATATGGTTGCTTTCTAGAGCCATCCTTTTTCCATTCGTAGAATCTAACATAAACTTGATGCATGCAAGAATTAACAACAATCTAGAAATTTACATCTAAATTCCTACGGAAGAAATAAGCAAAGGGCCTAAGCATGCATTTCGCATAAATTTCTTCACCAGATGGAACAAAGTGCATCATACAAAAGCAAGTATTAATTTCCTAGAGTAAGTGGGA